TTCATTCTCACAATTCAATCAAATCCTCCAAATCCAAGATATCAGCAAATTTCTCACCTTTATTTTGTTCTTCTGTTTCTAATAACTTACTCATAATCAAGGCCAGCAATTCACTGTAAAACAGACCTGGAAGTAAATAACATTCCAGTTTTATATTGTGAAGCAGTGAGACAGTAAATGGCATAGACCAGTGGTTCTCAACGTTTGTGTGACGGCGACCCCCGTCACACAAACGTTCTGCGCATGTGCGGCGGCGCCGCCCCCATGCGCGGCGCGCATGTGCGGCGGCGCCCCCTGAGGGGAGAAAATGGCGGATCGCCTTCTTTGGCGACCCCCCAAAAATGGTCGATCGACCCCAAATGGGGTCGCGACCCATAGGTTGAGAACCGCTGGCATAGACTAAAGATGATGAGAGGAGATATGGCTTATCTTTGGCCCCAAAGGCAACTGGACTGTCTTGGTTTTTTCCTTTGAAAACATTTCACTTCTCATCCAAGAATCGTCTTCAAGTTCTGACTGTTCAGTTTAGTTCTAACTTCTTCAGTTAGAACAGAAGAAGCTTCTTAGATTAGAAGTGAAACATTTTCAAAGAAAGTCCAGTTCCCTTTTGGAAAAAATACCTTTGGGACAACCATGATCTGGATGATTGAGAATCTTCATAGACACGGCTTATCTTTGCATAAGAAGAGTTAAACCCACTAGGCTATTTCACTGTGAATCACAACATGATCTGCATCATAACAGGAGTTTGTGGCTGCAAGGTTAGAGTGCTGGACTGATGATCAGCAGGCTCCCATTTGAGACCCGGTTGCTGCCACAGGACAGGGTGAATTCCCGTTACATGCGCTAGCTTGTGCCAATTCAGCAGTTCAAAAGAAGGCGACTACAAGTAGATAAATGGGTGCCATTTCAGTGGGCAATTTAACGGGGACATGAAATGAGCCTTCACCTGGGTGTCCCCCAAACAAGGGTAATGTCAATCCTTTCAACCTGGAAGTGCTTCCGCACTCTCAACATGACTGTAGTAGTAGTAGTAGTAGTAGTAGTAGTAGTAGTAGTAGTAGTAATCCTAACTCCCTGAAAATAAATCCTAAACTCTGTCTCTGAACTGGCTGCTACTCCTTCAATATAAAACTGTGTGTCTTTTCTTCTGGTCTGCCTCTATTTCCTCAACCAATTTCAAGAGTGTTGGGAAGCTGAGAGAGTTCTGGGTAAGAACTCTGGCCTTTCCCCTTTCAGAAACATGGACACTCTATCCTATGTTTTTCCCCAAGTTTTTATCTCCCAATAATAAGCCTTACTCAATAATAATAAGTCTTATTCTGTAATATCTTCCTAACACTGACACTCCATAATGTATCATTTGGCATCAATTTCTCCTTTTTCCTTAACTAAGAATATAAGAATGCTTCACAGCAAAGCTGCAGTCATAGACAAAACACAATATTTGCTGTTTGTGTGTTGAATTTGGGACTTCCTTCTTGCTAGTTTTGGTTCATGGCTAATACTTTATGAATACATGCAATAAGCAATTTGGACAACTGGTTCAATGCAAAAAAAAAAATCTAGATATTGCTGTTGTAGAATTTAAGGGGCTCCCTATTACAGGTAGTCCTTGATTTACAACCATTCGTTTAGTGACCATTTGGAATTACAACCACACTGAAAAAAAATAACTTATGACCATTTTCACACTTACGACTGTTGCAACATCCCCATGGTCACATGATCAAAATTCAAATGGCTGTCAACTGGTTCATATTTCTGACAGTTGCAGTGTCCCAGGGTCATGTGATCACCTTTTACAAGCTTCTGACAAGTAAAGTCAATGGGGAAGCCAGATTCACTTAACAACTGTGTTACTAATTTAACAACTGCAGTGATTCACTTGACAACTGTGGCAAGAAAGGTTGTAAATTGGGCAAAACTCACTTCACAACTGTCTCACTTAGCAACAGTAATTTGGGGCTCAGTTGTGGTCGTACATCGAGGACTACCTGTAACTGCCATGTTTTTCAGCCAAAACTGGGCAAAACCACAATGTAAGTATGAAGATGTCAACCTGTTCAAGCTAAACATTCAAACTAAATGCAGTTTGCAAGTCACTAGATAAATTCTGTCTTGGCGAGTTCTGTTATCAATCAACTGGATCCATGTTGATAAAACCAATATGAAGTTTGAACTTTGTATTCGCGGCCTTCTTGACACCCTAAGTATTTCTACAGTGTTTAACTTCAAAAAAGTGTTAAAATATTTTAAAATCTGATATTTTGATAGTGAATTATTTTTTTTTAGAAAATACAGATTGAAATACTGCTTTAAATATAAATATTCATATTGACTTATAATCATATTGTTCAAGCAGAAATATATTCCCTGTAATAAAGTGAGTTATGCAAATGATTAATGTCCCGTGCCAGGGAGATTCCGGCAGTTCAAATGAGTATAAAGATTTATTGCTTAAACTCTCTACAAGAATCTGAGCTACTAACAGTCAAAACAAATTGGCAGTAGATAAGAGTCAATGGAATTGAAGGTGGGCTGGACTTAGATCTCTTGTGGGCACGCAGGGACTCATGACTTATGACATGACCCTTCCCTCAGGCTCAGCTTGGTCATCTTCTCCAGTTACTTTTCGTATGATTAGAGAAATATAGATCGATGATGATTCTTGTCCAAAAAAATAGACATTGGGAACATAACTTTCATTTCCGAATAGTACATGCCAAACATTGTGTTCTATAAAATAAATAAACCTGTGTTATATTTATCCTTGCTATAATCATAATTATTTCTAAAGATAATAGTAGCGTTTATTTTTGTAAACTTGATGGCACTTCTCATAAAATGCTGTTATGGATAACAGAAAATCAAATGTATTAATTTACATCCAGATAGGGATAGGTAAGGTAATTTAGCGTGGCTTATTAATGAATAATAAAAGTGACAGCCCAGAAAAAGCTTTAAATAGGTCGCTTAAGGCATCAGTATTAAATATTAACAAGAACTGAAGACATTTTGAACATGTGAACCGAATACTCTATGATGAACAACCCAATACATTTGATAACAAAAATGTGATAATAGAAAATTGGGATAATAGATAAAAGTACTGTATTAGATACTACTTTTTGATATCCTAAAAGGAAAACTCTTCTTTATAATTTAATTTTAGGGAGAATACTGACTTCTGGGATATTTTATTTATTTAGAAAATTTATGTAGCATCCCACACACCTTACAAAATGTGATTCTTGACCCTTATAAACATAACAATAATTAAAACTATATAACAATTCAGGAAACATCAAGCAAAAATAAAACAAAAATTAAAAAAATAAAGACAAGAGAAACATGAAAAAACCACTGTTTTCCCCCATAGTAGAAGAAGAACAGTGCCTTAACTTCATAAAAATGATCCTTGCAGGCTTAAGTTTGATGGAAAAACTCACATATTCAGGGCTTTCTGTAAGGCTAGCAAGGATGCCACTAATCCATAAAAGGATGCCATAAAAGAAAAAGTGCATGTCCTGGATCCCATCAGATAGCACTTTTTAAGAGGCAGGATTTAAAGCATAACTCTTCCACTTGACCTGATGGGAAGGGGACATGAAACTGAGAAGAGGCAATCCCTCAAATAATCTAGTCCCAGGCCATATAAGACATTAAAGTTCAAAATCAGTGCCTTGAATTACATCCAGAATCGAACTGTCAGCCAATGCAGCTTGAGGAACAGAGGTGTAATGTGTGCCATGCTAGAGAGCACATAATTGTCTGTACAGTTGCAGGCTCACCAGCTGAACGTCCGGATGCTCTGTAGGAGTAGCCCCATGTAGAGTGCACTACAGTAATCCATTCTGGAGAGGACCAAGGCATGAATGACAGTTAATAGATCCTTATGGCCCGAAGGATACAATGGGCAAAACCATGAAGCTTTTCAAAGGCCCTCCTAGCCATTACTTGCTGCTCCTCAAAAAGGAGTTATGAATTTAGGGAAAAAACAACAATCCCAGATTGTGCACAGTCTATCTGGGGTAGTGCCATTCCATCCAGTACCAAAGATGTTAAAGCCCCAGAAGGCCCCAAACCCCAGAGCTACTCAGTCTTGTTGGGATTCAGCTGAAGCCCATTGTTCCTCATCTAGACCATCATAGTTTGTAGACACTGTGACAAGATATCAACAGCATTGCTGAATTTGCCAAGAGCAGAGATGTATAACTGGGTATCATCTGTATACACTGATCGAACTTCACTCTGTGGTGATGGATGATCTCATCCAGTAACTCCATATAGATCAGAAGTGTCAAACTGCTGGCCCGCAGGCCGGTTGCATCATTCGGAGGCCGCGCCCACCCCAGCTCCGGCAATGCAACAAAAGTTGCAATATGTCGTGACACGTCATATGACACGGCAAGTTTGACACCCGCTATACAGATGTTACATAGAGAGTACTGAATCCTTCAGAAGCCTACATAGCATGGCTCAGGCTCCCAGACAACCTTGATCATAGAAAGAAAATGAATGAGTGCAATACCGTGTTGCTCATTCCCTACCCACAGAGCCAATTCATGGTTGATGGTATCAAAGGCTACTGAGAAGTGAAGAAGAGCAAGCACAGATGTACTATCCCTATCCTGCTCCAGACAGAGGTAATCCAAAAGGACAACCAATGCTGTCTCTCTCATACTGCTAAAATTGATAGAATAAGCATGTATTACCGCCACTCACAAAACGTCCAGTACCACTGAGTGGTAAACCCAGCTTGAAAGACTGTGAACATTGTTTTACTTATATATCCACTCCTATAATAAAGAGTCTTGACTGTGTACATTTTACACAGGGATAGATAAAAAAATAGGGGCTTTCTGTTTTTTTTACCTGACTAGCTTTCAAATAGGACTGCTACCTTCAACTCAAATAATTCTTAATAACCCTTATCATACCAAGGTTTGCTTTGTCAAAATATGCTGTAATACTTTCCCCCCTCCTTCTCTCCTTAGGTTGATGGAATATTATGTTTGGCTGACATTCTTACAGATGGTATACATTCCCAGGCTACTCATGCTGAAGCAGCTGCAGTAATAGCTCAGATCACATCTCCTCAGCTCACTTCCACTCAGCATCTCAACAGCTTTCTTGAGAACATGGAAGAAATTGTCACCGCGCTTCTCAGTATGTATATCCATGGAAATTTCATGTTTGAATGTTGTTAAGATACAGAAGGCTTTGGGAATTTTTAGACTAATTACCACATGCTACGTCTGATATGTTAATTGTGTAATCTTTCTTTCAACTCTGTTGTTTTTCTCATTTTTCTGGGTCAGTCAATCATCTGTAATTGAATTTAAACGTGCTTGAGATAAACACATGTCTATCATCTGACAAAAATAAAAAAGTTAAAAATAACAAATTAATAAATTAAAAAGAAAACAGCAACAAGAAGAAAAAACTCCCAAAGGGCTCAATGGACCACTGGGTTATTTTTTCCTGCTGTCAGTTTCCTATATTTTTGTTTTAGAGAGCCTGTCTGGATTGACAGACTGACTCTTAGCAGGAATATTTCTACAGATTAGGAGAAATTTCAAATATCCTACTCTCAGATTGCTTAGGAAAGGAAAGGGGTGAAGAACTGTTTTTAATCAAGACCTTATTTCATTGTTCCTTAACTTCTATCTCAGTGTTTCTCAACCTTGACAATTTTAAGGCATGTGGACTTCAACTCCCAGAATTCCACAGCCAGCAATGCTGGCTGTGGAATTTTGGGAGTTGAAGTCCACATGCCTTACAATTGTCAAGGTCGAGAAACACCGTTAATCTTAACGAAATAACAGAGTGGAAAGGGATCTTGGAGGTCTTCTAGTCCAACCCCCTCCTCAAGCAGCAGACCTCATACCATTCCAGACAAGTGGCTGTCCAGTCTCTTCTTAAAAGCTTCCAACGATGGACCACCCACAACTTCTGTAGGCAAGCCATTCCACTGGTTAATTGTTCTCATCATTAGGAAGTTTCTCCTTAGTTCTAGGTTGCTTCTCTCCTTGACTAGTTTCTGTCCATTGTTTCTTGTCTTGCTTTCTGGTGCTTTGGAAAATAGATTGACTTTGTGGCAGCCCCTCAAATATTGGAACACTGCTATTATGTTGCCCCTAGGCCTTCTTTTCACTAGACTAGACTTACCCAATTCCTGTAACCATTATTCATATGTTTTAGTCTCCAGCCCTCTAACAATCTTTGCTGCTCTTTTCTGCACTCTCCAAAGTCTCAACATTTTTTTTTATAATATGGTGACCAAAACTGGATGCAGTATTCTAAGCGTGGTTTTCTGTGTGTATTTGTCTATGATGCCTCTTTCTCAGAGATAAGGGATTCAGAGTTAGTGATGCAATGTCTTTCTTTCTTTCTTTCTTTCTTTCTTTCTTTCTTTCTTTCTTTCTTTCTTTCTTTCCTTCCTTCCTTCCTTCCTTCTTTCTTTCTTTCTTTCTTCCTTCCTTCCTTTCTGTTTTATATATATGCCCATATGTATTCCATATATAATAATACGATAATATTTCCATCCATCCATCTTTTCGGTTCTCATATTGAGGTATTCTCATTGTATTACTTTTTTCATTGTTTATTTTATTGTACTATTATTTTACTTCTGTTTACACTCCTTTCATTTTCTTCCTTTTTATTATTTTTATTTTTATTATTGTAAGCCACCTAGAGTAGACTCATTTTTAAGACTATGTTTTTTTTCTGTTAAAATTGGTTGGAAGCAGATTATATTTACAGTACATCAAGTCCAAAGTCACTTTTTCTTCTGTGGATGGCTTGCCCAATGTTTGGATCATGATACTGCATCAGCCACCCACATGCTTTGCAAGCTTCTCCTTTTATTCTTGTAATAGTAAAGCTCCAAAATTGGAAGAAATGAAATTATATGATTATTAGAAAGAAAACTGAGAGGTCAGATCTTTCTTTCTTTTTTTTTTCTCATGGTGGACATTAGTTTCTGATCTCAAATGAATTTAAATCGGTTCAATTCCTCTTGGCTTCTGGATGCCCTCTATAGTGTTGCAATCAGCATCACATCAATGTTATTAATGATGCCACAAAATTTGTGGCACACTTTCTGGCAAAAATTGCCATCCAGTGGATACTTTATAGACAGGAAGAAGGTTTCAAATAGGCTTGCTTATGCAAAAAGCCACATTTTAGCTGGAAAAAAAAAAAGCCCTGCCAAAATATAGAAAAAATCATCAGGGGAAAAAATAGTGTTTTGTTTTTTTTTTTAAAAAAACAATTTTTATTTAATTATCTCTAAAGTTAAAATGCCAAATAGAAGAAAAAAATCAGCTACAAACAAAATAACCAAACAACATATAGAAAAATAATAATAAAAAATTTTGTACAACAACAAATAACAAACATATTGCTAACATTAAATATAAAATGTCCACCCTGGTGGAATGCTGAAAAAAAAATAACTCAAATATCTGATGCATTCTTCCCCTTGCCTAACAGTTCTGCAAGTAGTTACAGACTATCCCCCATCTATTTTTATTAAGAATGTTAGGCTAAAAAGATGTCACCAATGTGGAAATCTATGGTCTATCAATCAAGTAGAACCACCATTTATTTACAATAAAAAGAAACAGGTAACAGGTAATGCCAAAGGCTTTTACATGAAATATTTTACCTGAGAAAAAAAAGCTCTTCCAAAATATAGAATGAAAGAAGAAAATAATGTTGAAGTTGCTCCAGAAGTTCCATGATGCACCACAAGTGTTCCTCTGTCTTCATATTTCAAACTAGGAAAACAATCATGGTTTAAGCACTTGACTTACTACCATGTTGGAAAATGAGGCTCTGCTGTTAGAATCATGATTAAGAAGTAGAAAATTATCTGTTATTGCCATTAAAGCATCTACTTTTTACATTCAGGTCCAGCTATACCTAAGCACATTTAGAAAGAAGAGACTGCAATAGGGAGTCTTCCCTCTAATGAATCTCTAATTTCTCTATAATATTTATAGCTAAGTAATTGAATTACTATTCTGATTTATTTAATCCCAGAACCACAGACAAATCAAATTGCTGGGTGAGTCAGACCTTAGTTAAAATAGATGTGTACAGAAATTAAAAGACACTTAGAAGGTTATAATAACAGCTCTGTCTGCAGCATTTTAAGAGGTCTTCAGCAGGAAAGGAAAAGTTATATAGCACAGTCTTAGATTAAATATATAGCTGTAATGATAGCAAGATATACTGTAAAATTATATATTCTTGTGAATCAATTAGTTTGTGCATACGGTTACATTTTATCTAGCAACCCAATCTACCATCTACAGCCAAACTCTATGCTGCAACCACATTTGTATTGTGCATTTTTATTTGAAATAAACAGCTGCTCAAGGATCTTCCCTCACGGCCATAAAAAGTTTTAGAACATGCAAGCAAACAAAACATGGATGGAAACTAATCAAGGAGAGAACCAAGCTAGAACTAAAGAGAAAATTCTTGACAGTTAGGACAATTTATCAGTGGAACGAGTTGCTTCCAGAAATTGTGGGTTTTCCATCACTGGAAGTTTTTAAGAACAGATTGGACAACCATTTTTCTGAAATAGTACAGGGTTTCCTGCTTGAGAAGGAGGTTGGACTAGAAGACTCCAAGATCCTTTCTAACTCTGATATTCTATTATTCTGTTAAATAAATGGACTGGTTTTAATTTAATATTTTAATTAGGCTTTCTAATGTCTAGAACTGTGCCAAGAGGCTGCCTCTGGGGAAGTTTTCCTATTGGCTTCAGCTGCACTTGCCAATATTACATTCTTGGACTCAAAGGCCTGTGAGATGTTGCTTCAGCTTGATGCCATGAACATTCTTATTGCAGCTTGTTCTGACAAACAGAAAGTAGACAGTTCCTATTCTCGAGATCAGGTAAGCATATTTAACATATGTCCAGAAAAGTTAACATGAATGGCTGTCATAGTAGAAGGAAAAAAATATAGATGTGGAAAAGAGTCCAGAATAACCTTGATTTAATAAATCTCAATATAGCCCAGCGTTCCCGAATGTTTCTGGCTTTGTGGACCTGTATGGGATGGTCCCGCGGGAGTGGTTGGCAAGCACACGCACACACAACTCCACTTGCATGAGTGGCATGCATACGCATGTGCCCCTCATGCAAATGGAGCACACATGCACATGTTCACCTGGTGATAGCCAAGTGAGGATGCCCATGCGCAACCTCACTGATTGTTTCCGTGGCCCGGTTGCACTCCCCTCATGGTCCACTAATGGGCTGCAGTCCACAGGTTGGCAACTCCTGTTGTAACCGATTTTGGATTTAATGGACAAAATCTTCTGAACAGGATATGCCCAAGAAATTTGAAATAACAGCTTCATCTTGCTGTCCTGTTCATTAAGTAACCATTATGATCAGTTTAGTGCTGATGTCCCCAGAGTTTTGGAATTCTCTTTCATGGCTTTTTTTTTCTTATTGTAGCATTTATTAAAGCTGTTCTCATGCAAAGCCAGCTTCGTGGGGTAACATAGCATTGCTTATGATGATGTAATAACTTCAGTAGCAATTCTGGAAATCTATTTAGAAGTGAGCACCTTTAAATAATGCCATGGTGCTATTAGTTTGAAAGGTTATATAGCCTAGGAAAGAAAATAAATCAACTGAAAAATAATTAAAATAATACCAGTTTTCATCCTTATTGGGAATCGTCTTATTGGGACATGGGTAACAATTCCCAGTAAGGATCAAACTGATAACATGGTGCGTCCTGGTGGTCACTATAACAAAAAACAGGATATATGCTGTGCAAAAATAAAGAAATTTCTCTGTCTTCTAAGCCCCTTTTTGGGAACTCATGTAACCCTTGTCCACAGTGGCATGACATAGAATAATATATGTATCTTTCTGTTCTGTGGGAAGGCGGAGTGTATATACCATTCTGATAATGGTCAGAATATTTTTAAATAGAAAGTGTTCTCTTTGATTGACCAAATTGCCCCATTCAGTAAAATGGATGGATTGGCTATGGCAAGCTCCAAATAAACTGTAAATTAGGAATGATTAAAAGAGCAAGTAGATTGAAATGACATTTGTATCCAATGAGTCATCATGCCAAAAATGGAAGAGGGATAATTTAATTGAGATCAGAAATTATTCAGTATTTCTCAAAAATAGTATTGTTCCTACAAAGATGATAAATTCAAATAAATTCATTTTTCTAACAGAAAATACATTATTTTGGTTTTGCTCCTTTTCTTACATCATTGCTAGCTGTGTTAAAATCTCAAAAAAATCATATTCATTTTAGGCAGCACTTTATAATGGTTAAATCAGATGGGTAGTCTAACTTCTCACTTTAATCCACAAGTAAAAAATGTTTGGATTTAAATTAATTTTGCTTATATTTCTTTGCTTTTTCTTTCTTAACCGCTCTTCCTCACATTTACTCATTTATTATAGCCTTTAAAACCTCTAGGTCAGGGTTTCCCAACCTTAGCAACTTTAAGTCCTGTGGAATTCTGGGAGTTGAAGTCCACTGGTCTTAAAGTTGCTAAGGTTGGGGAACCCTGTTCTAGGTATTAAAACTCAAGCACTCTGTATCAGAATCTAGTTTTCTGTCACAATTCTATAAAGGATAATCCCAAAAGCCAGCCAGAAGGAAAACCTACTAGACTTCTAAAAATCTGCTAATGTTTGACCATGTTAAGGGGAAAAAAATCCATATTAATGGAAAATTTCTTAGAAATGCTATTTCATATATGATCTATCTGTCTTTTTATTGATCAGATTTACCTAGTAAACTATTTTTATATAGGTGGAGGTTTGTCCTCCAAGCTTGCTGCTTGGCTCCCAAATGTTTTGTTACCAAATTAGGTAATATCTTCAGTGGGGTTTTTTTGGTGTGAAGTGTCTTGTTTGTTTATATAGGTCCTGGGTGGTCAGTTGGTTTTGTGATTGGTTGAATCACAAGACTGACTGAATCACAAGAAAAACAAAAAAGTCCAGTTGCCTCATGAAAAAGCATCTTTGGGATAACTATGACCTGGATGATCGAGAATCTCCATAGACATTACCTAAGAGAACAATATGCAGAAGCCCTTTCTTTTTATTGGAATTGTCAGTTGAGGCTTTAATGTAATCTGAAGTTCAGGGTCAGAATCATGTTGCTTCTTCATATTGCTTCTTCTACTTGGTAAGATGGGTAGTGTCACATCTGCTCAGAAAAATTGCAGTAGGGCTGGAAGCAAATATTTTCTATTTTATATACTAAATAATTTTGTAAATTTCTGCATGATGTGTGTATATGTGTGTGTGTGTGTGTGTGTGAGAGAGAGAGAGAGAGAGAGAGTGAGTGAGAGAGAGAGAGAGAGGAGGAGAAGAAGAAGAAGAAAGAGAAAGGAGAAAGAGAAGAAGAGATTATGGTGCTGGGTTTTCCCTGTGTTGGGATGCTTTAGACGAACAACCTTTCCATAAAAAAGATTCATTCATATGACAGTCAGCATCTTTATTAACAGTCCTTTATTTATTTCAATTCCCAATCAATATATGGCATTTGGAGATTAAGAGCTTGAATTATGTCCAGAAACAATACTCTTTTTTTGTTTAGTTTTGTTTTGCAAACGTCACTGCATGGCTGAAGTTTTTTTTTGTTATTTCTCTTGAATGCTTTGCATAATAATATATCCTGGCATGTGTGACAGTCATTTACAAAGTGACTGGACTTACATTTAAAAAACAACTTCAGGAACAGAGTAAGAAATGAGGTAATCAGTTTGTCTCTGTTAGCAAAGCTGAAGATGATGAATTGTGTAATTAAATTTCTCAAAAATACTTAAGAAATTAAAAAGTGGTACACCAGTTCATAATGGATATAAAAATAAATGCAGGAAAGAGTTTGGAAGGTTGGCTTTTAATAACCCTAGCAATGTGGAATCCACTTTCTTATTCTAATTAGTGTAGTATATCAATTGGTCCCTTGTTTGTATCTTTTGATGCTATCAACTGTTTTGTTTACAAACATATAAGAAGCTTCCAGATATAAGAATTCAATTCTTCCTTTGTTCACATTTTCATATATATGAATGCATATATGCAGTTTTACAGAGGATTCTTCAAGGAATAACTAAGTAGAGTCTGATTATTTTACCCTTAGATATCTTTAGTGATCTTGGAGAAAACTCTTGAGAGTCCCTTGGACTGTAAGGAGATAAAATCAGTTAGTCATAAAGGAAATAAACTCTGACTGTTCTTTGGAAGGACAGATGTTGAAGCTGAAACTCAAATACTTTGACCGCCAAATGAGAAGAGAGGACTCACTGGAGAAGACTCTGAAGTTGAGAAAAATTGAAGGCAAAAGGACAAGGAGACAGCAGAGGATGAGATGGTTAGACAGTTCCATTGAAGCAATGGGCATGAGTTTGGGCAGACTCAGCAAGAGAGTGGAGGACAGAGGAGCCTAGTGTGCTATGGTCCATGGGGTCACAAAGAGTTGGACACGACTTAACAACAACAATCTTTAGTGAGATCATCAATTCCCTATCTTTATTTGCTGTGAGGAAAGATCATTAAGCAAATAAATGGATTTTTTTCTTCCTTAAAAAGAAAGCTTTGTCTTTCTCAGATAAATCTAAGGCCAGGAGTGGCTTTTCCTTTGTGCTGTAGGAATTTCCCTTCTCTTCATCCCTGAAATATTCTCGTCCACTCATACAGATTTGCAGAGCTCAAGAGGAGCATTAGAGGAAGGGGGAATTCCCCTTTCCCCTGCTTTGTTGACAGAATCCATTGCATTGATAAAGCAGTTAATTGAATCTCTCTCTCTCTCTCTCTCTAATGGAACTAATGCATCAAAGTTCAGCTATTTCTAGATGCAAATAATGATCCCTCATAGTCTTTGGCAACCAAGCCACAACAATGCAAATATCTACCATCAAATTAAATAAAAGAAAATTAATGTGTTTCATAGCATATTTAGGTCATCATGAAATGACTATTGGCACTTTCATGTTTAGGTACTTTGCCACCTAACGAGATGATGCTATATTTTTTGTTTTATGATTCATTTTTTTTCTACTCACGTCAGCAATCATAATAAAAGTGCAGAAAAACTGTTTTCCTATGAATATTAAAAATTAATTAACATAATACCCTACAGTGTAATTTGCTGACCACTAGAAAACTGGGGTAGTTCTTTAAAAAGAGAGATTGTAAGGATGAAAGAAAATCCCATTACTTTTTCGATTTCCAAATGCTTTTCTTCATTGTTTCCTGCACTTTCTCCCCTTTTCTTATTCTCTCCCTCAGAAACCCTAAATACTATCGTTTTCAATTCTGCTAAGTTGTTATTTCCCACATTTAAGTCTTTTTCTTCGGTTCTCTGCATAAGTGCACTTCTAAGGAAAAAGAGCACTTTTCTCATTTTCAAAAGCTTTTCTGATATGTCTTCCCTCTTTTGTGCTTCTTCTCATATCCCTTGTCCATTTGCTTAATTTTTCTTTTGCTTAATTTTCTCCATGCCATAGCTGCTTCCTTCTGTCTTTGCAAACCTTTTGAAAGATAATCTTTTTATGCGCAGTATCAGCTAAAAGCAAAAGAAATCTCTGCAAGCCTCTGTCTTTTTGCTGCAGAAAAGACATGGTATTTTTTTTATATATATATTCTGGACACTAAAACTTATAATATGGTTGCTTGGAGACCTGGTTGCTAAAAGTTTATACTTCTGCTTATCGTTCACTAAAATTATTCTTGTACACCTATTGTATTGTCATTGCTTATTTGTTTCGCAGAAAAGCCCAACCCGGAATGAAGCAGAACATTTCAGGGTGCAAAGAGTAGATTAATCAGAGGTTTTTGAATGTACTGTGACTGACAAAAAAAAAAACTAATGACCCTCAAGCACAATGAATGCTTAAACATTCCAGCAAATTGATAAAAAAAATTCTACGGAATTAATTGAGGGTAAAATGGGTTCCTAGATCAAGATATTTTGAAATTGGAACAATAGGGAAGTCTAGGATTGCCAAGTAATTTATTATGGGAATATTTGAACACTGGAGACTGTCATATCTCAATTAAAGAAAGACTTAGACTGATGAGGAGCCAGTATGATGTAGTTGTTAAGGCATCAAGCTAGAAACTGGGAGATGGAGAGTTCTAGTCATACCTTAGGCACAGAATCTGCTGGGTGACTTTGGGCCAATCCCTATCTCTTGGAATTAGGCAGCAGGCAAGGGCAAATCACTTCCAAGAAAACTTGCCAAGAAAACTTCAGGAACCAGTCAAGGTAGTCACTAGGAGTCAAAAACTGACCCAAAGGTACACACAGAGACTGAAGGAGGAGAATTTGGGATAGTTAGCACAGTAATGTTAAAGTAGAACCAGGGACACACATATTCAAGTCCATCTTCAGGCATGGAAGCTCAATGGATTACTTTGGAAAATCATTTTCTCACTACTATCTACTTTACACAGTTTTTGTTCTAAGGAAAATAGGAGGAACGACGTGCCAGGTATATCAAGTAATAGTGATGAAAGAAAGACAAGCTATATATTTCATATATGAATAAGAATAAATTACATTAAGGAAAAGGAATGGGCTAATGTAGATGAAATAAACCACCATTTAAATTGAGATACCTTTGAACTTCCCTAAGTACAGTAACAACTTCTCTGGAAAAAAGAACAATTAACTAATAAAACATATTGGGATTAGCCTATGGGGTGTGACTTTTGATATGCCATACATATATTTCTCTCAGCCCTAGGAAGAGGCAATGGGAAAAAGAAGCCAAAAGAAAGAAAACTTGTCTTTGGTATATTGTTTCTATTACTGAGGGTGGTTTGGTTGAACTCAAAAACTAATCTGGCTTTATACAAGTGCTTCCATCTTGTGAATATCCCAAAGGTGCTTTTTCAAGAGGCAACTGGACTTTCTTTGTGGACTTTGTGCTTCTCATCCAAGAAGTTTCTTCAGCTCTGACTAGATGTAATATAAATATAAATCCTTCCATTCCTCATTGTCCAGTAAGAGCTGAAGAAACTTCTTGGATGAGAAGTGAAACATCTTCAAAGAAAATCAAGGAAGTCCAGTTACCTCTTGAAAAAGTACCCTTGAGACAACCATGACCTGGATGACTGAGAATCTCCATAGACATCTTGTGAACAGTTTTCCTACAGCAGCATATCTGTATTTATCTCTCTTTGATTATTAGAATTAGAATAGAATAGAGCTGGAAGGGACCTTGGAGATCTTCTAGTCCAGTCCCCTACTTAAGCAGGAAAACCTATACCATCTCAGACAAGTGACTGTCTAGCCTCTTCTTAAAAATCTCCAGTGATGGAGCGCCCACGATTTCTGGAGGCAAGCTGTTCCATTGGTTAATTGTCCTCACTGTCAGGAAGTTTCCCTTAATTCCAGGTTGCTTTTCTTTTTGTTCAGTTTCCAACCATTGTTTCTTGTCCTGCCCTCTGGTGCTTTGGAGAATAATGGGACCCCTCGTCTTTGTGGCAGCCCCTCAAATACTGGAATACTGCTATCATGTCGCCCCATTTCTTCTTTTTTTTAGACTAGGTCTTACCTTTTTTAATGTATAATAATGCCTTTGTAACAATATTTATAATTTATTTAATGTGTCAATGCAGTGGGCACTGAAAAGAATCCAGAACGCCACATTCTCTGGTTCTTGGCTTAGTATTGTTCTTTTATTCCTGGCAGGTTCTTCAAGAAAGGTCTCCATGAATATGAAGGACAGGAAGGACACCAGTTTTCTAATCCTCTTTGTCTTCTCTAGTCTCTATGCATATTCTATGACATTTCACAAGACTCCTCAATGGGAAGCTAGTTTAGGGGGAAGTGGAAGAAGTTGAAGAGAAATTAGCAAAAGATGTTCCTCCCTTTTCTATTCATAAAGTTTCCGATAAGAATGTCTTTCATCTTAGGCAACAGGACCCAACTATTAAAAACAAAACAAATAAAAAATACAGTAATTTCTTCAGTTGCATAAATTTTTTTTTTCATATTTATGTGTTGCTCATGCTGAAAGGGTTGTATGAACCAGGAGCACCTGCACAGGATAAGCAAAGTTAAAATGATGGTTATAATTGCATAATTAAAACTGCCATATTGACATATCCCTACTGCCTCTGCAGAAATCTCTGATGTGAGTATTACAGAAATTTAAGCTGAGGAAAACAAAACAAAATTCATCGTCCAACATAGGACTGAAGTACTTTTGGGAGCCAAGGCCACTATTTTTACTGTTGTTCTGCTGTTATTAATATTTTTAGTCTTTGAGAGCTGCAGAAAGTATGGCAATCATGCAGTTACACTCTGTCATTAAAGTGGGTTACACAATTTCCCCCCACCCTTTTAAAAGTGTCTTTACACAAAATAGTTGCAACACATATTCCAGTCTGAGATTTTTTTTATATTTGTGTTAAGATTCAACCATTTTTGCCTGCAGATTTCTCAGTGAAATCTGGGCCTGAGGAAATGTGGGCCTGAAGTGAAGACCAGTACACAGTGTTTTGGCTGCCTATCCCTGTCTACAGTCTTTAAAATAAAATATTATGTAGATTCCTAAAACCTTCTGACACAAATCAAAACCTTTTGATTTTCTGAATTTGTGTCCAACAAAGGCCCATCATACTTGCACAATTACAGGTTATGGGAATATCACAATAAGAATAGAAGCATATGTGCAATGGCAATAAGCACAACAGATCTAAGGAGAGGAGTCATTTCCCAAGTAGCTGATCAATGATTTATAAGTCATTATAATATCAGTTGTATAATGTAAAATTCCAAACTGCTGCCTCTTTTTAATTTAGATTGTAACAGTATTAGCAAACCTGTCTGTCCTGGACCAGTGTGCTTCAGAAATAATGCAACAAAATGGTATGTATGTTTTGACAATGCGCAAAAGAGTTATCCATGTGAAAATAAAATTGAAATGCCATCCTTTATTTAGCTAAACAGCATTTAATGTAACACTAGGATTACTAAAGATCTAAATTTATATGATTTTGAGACAAAATTCTGCATTTTCACCTCTCCAAATCTCAGAATCCTGACCAAAAATGTGTCAGGATGCAAGTTTATGTCATTTTCTTTCTGAAATACCTGCAGGTGGCACCTTGCAATTTCAAAATCATAGCTTTTTTTCCTATTTCAGATATGGAATGCTGATATTGTTATATCTCCCTATTTTGAGAAGCGTGCCAGTGAAGAAATAGAGAAAGAGCCATCTCTCTATACTGCTTCACTGTAGAATTCCTCATATACTGTCATTCAAGATGCTTTTGAACATAGACTTAACTTTCTTCTGGAGAGTTAAGTGCTCTCTTACACCCAAAAGTTGCTCTGACAACAGTTGACCATCTCTCTGTGATTGTTGCCTGGTGAAATGGCAGAGAGAAGCAGCTTGCTGTTGTTGGACTGTCAGCGAGTAGGGCAGGGGTCTTCAAACTTGGCCCTTTTATGACTTGTGGACTTCAACTCCCAGAATTCCTCAGCCAGGCATGCTGGCTGAGGAATTCTGGGTATTGAAATCCACAAGTCATAAAAGGGCCAAGTTTGAAGATCCCTGAACTAGGGCTTATCCAGGTTTCCAAACCAGGGATCAACTCCAGTAAAAATGCTGTATCTCCTCCTTGCCTGCCGTCTCTTCTAGCCTAGAAGAGAAGTTCTTGAGGCTAGGAAAAGTGGGAGGTGAAAAAGGGGATGAGTTCTGACAAATAATTACACTGAAGTTCTAACCATTTGTCAGAACTGTAATCCATACTATTGATGGATGATTTTTACCTCTTGCTTGTGACATTACTGGCTGAAGTCATCCTTTCCTAAATGGGAAATGAGGATGCCATTCTCATCCCATAGCAGAGGATTGACAATAGAAACAGCTAAATCTATGCTGGTTAAGTAAGTTACTTTCTTAAAATTACCACTTCTCCTTTTTGTATTTGGAATAATGATGGGGGATTATACCTTTAGGTAGAATTTGAAAGAGCAGTGTTGAGGGCATTTGGCATTTAGCTTTGTCCCCTGCAATTATGCTGGCTTGGCTTCATCTTCAACTCTAACTTTTGTACCAAAATTCTTTTTACTGTGTTTTTGTATAATTGTCAGCAATATTTTACACTTTTGTAGGTATTCAGGTTTTAATGGAAATGCTATCTGAAAAATCACCATTTGGGAATTCCCCCGAAAGAGCTGCTTGTGAACAAGTTCAACAAAAAGCCGCAGTGACACTCGCCCGGCTTAGCCGTGATCCTGAAGTAGCTCATTCAGCCATAAAACTCAACTGTACGTATTTAAATGATTTTATACGTCAAAGGGACATTATTTAGCCCATTATTTGCTGAATGCTACTTTTCTCTACTGCATGTCAACTAAGAACCAGTCTGTTCTCCAGAACTGGTCATTCATTTTTTAAAGATTTCTGATTTTACAAATCAATTGATGATTGCCCCAATTGGCAGCATGGAGTTCAGTTAACAGTACAGATAATCCTTGACTTATGACTGTAATAGAGCTTGCCCATTATGGTTGTAAGCTGGACAGTCGTAATGTGGTCATGTGGCCAACCTGATTTTATAACCTTTTTTTGTGGTGGTCATTAAGTAAACAAACTATTTGCTATGGACTAGTTTTGCAGAAAATCCCATTTTTTTTTTTAGCAAAAACACTGTAAAACCTGGCCGAAATACAGCCAATTGAAAAGCACCTAAAGAGCAGTTAGGGTTTGGGGGCAGCCATCATAAGCAGTCCTGGGGAGGTCTTTGAATGAAGTATGAACCTTTTATGTTGATCATGACAATGCACTTGTCCATGCTAACCCAGCTGCCTAAGAAAATGATATGTTGTTCACAGAAAACTCAGTACTAGCTTTCAAAGGTGTGAATGGGATTCTTCTAAATAAAGGGGGAAAAAAGGAATCCCTTAAAATAGCATTCATCATTGAATAAACTAAGTCTGATATGCCTGGGTAAAGATTCACTGGCTTTGCAAAGAGAATTATGAATTCTCTTAGTGTTTATAATTTGAGCTATGTAAAAAGAAGTAGGTTTTTTTCTTTTCCTGTTTTTTTTAGCATCACTTTTTATGGCATTACAACATTTTCACTGAAATGGATAAATCTAGAAAATATGCCACCTAGAATAAATTGTTGATCAATGTTCTTTTCAAATCATTTTCAGGTATTCCACGTCTCATACAACTTTGCAGGTCTCCAGGTGAAAGAAATAACAGTGATTCTGTTCTTGTTGCTTGTCTGGTAAGAGCATCTAATTGTTCCCTCTTTCCTTTCATTTTATTCTGCTGATGAGACATCCATGATCAAGAATTTCTGTTGCCTGGAAAAATAGGAGAGCTGATCTTGGCAGATTTCAATCTTCTGATTCACATTCTTCACTATTGAGAAGATTCCTTCCGCTATCCAGATCAGATCTGCAACAGACAGGAGCAAAGCAATATAGCAATATTGTTCTGTCCCAGCCTACGCGAGTACTGCTCAACTGCTTACTTGTGAGGAAAACCCCTTTGCATTGAATAAGGCAGGACTTTGTAAGAAAGTAAACCCCTTTTATTTTGACACAACTTTTATGGAACAAACTCCAACAGTCTTTTAGCTGTAGAAACGAACAAGATCAGTCTCCGAGTTCTCATCAGGAAAACTCAATGTTCAAGTCATTCAAACATACAGAAATCTGACAAACCTGGTTAAATATCCAAGAATCCTGAGGCAAGAAATCCAATGACAGAAGCACAAAGTTATAGCATGAACGGTTGCCTTTGGCAACCAGCCCCTCCCACGCATGGCTTCTTAGAATCTTTTACTTTTCCTGGAGAGCTGCCCCACCGCCATCCATTGTCCCACACGTCTTTCCTCTCTGCACATGTGCATCTGGAACAGGCCCCAGCTGTTCCTCCTCTTCTCTAAGTTCAGGCCCCCCAACCCAGCTTGAGCGTGAGTAGATGGGCCTGGTGTCACATCTAGCTCTGAATCTTCTTGCTCTTCAGAGCCTTCCACAGACTCCAATGTGAACCCAGGCAACCCTTCCCCCTCATCCAATTCATGTGATTCGGCTGCCGGATCTGCTGGCAGGCGAGGACTCACAACAAATATATTCAATTCCATATTATCAGCTGTTGCAAGAGTATCTCCTCTGTCTATTGATTTCTTTCTCCTGCAGTGCCTCAGTTATATTCCATTGAGGCATGTAAGTAAAAAGGAGAAAATACACTTTATTGTGCAAGCAAACATTTATTTCATAACATCAGATGCTAATCTTTTTGGCACATGTGACATCCTGCTTTTTAATAAGTTGCATCTGCAAATTTTATTGTAATCTGGCTCTTTTCTGTCCTTAAAACTTGTCCATTTTAGACAAATATGTCTTCAGGATATTATCAGGAATGGAGGTTTCAAAGTTAAAATCTTGAAGCTTAGTAGGCTGAGATCATTTTCTTTTCAACGAAAATATATTTGATCAGATTCCTGTATGCAACTTCTGCAACCTCCTATCTTATAATATAGTAAAGTAATTTCTGTAACAGCTGCCTTATTTTAATGAAGATAAGTAAGTAATATTTGTTTCTGCAAAAGAGATTTGCATTCAATTTTTTTGTCTCCACATGGCTGGAAATCAAATGATTTATCAGTTGTAATATCATAAACTTGCTGACATCCATTAAAATAATTCTTATCTTAATTTTAGGCTTGCCTAAAGTCGCATTAGAAATCTATGATTCACCTTCATTGGCACCAAGCATCTAGAAACAAAATTTCCCTTTACTAGAAAGGTTGTTGGGGTTTTGAGGCATGGAACTCTTTTATATAACATGGTTTAAATTTTGAAATTATATTTCTTTGTTAAAATGATTCAGTTTGTTTGCTTGTTTGTTTACTGAGAACAAGCCATTTTCCATTCCATCATTAAACCAAGGAGTTTGAAGTATAGAATTCTTGTACACAATACTGAGACATAATCAATGCATCCCAAGTGGGCGATAGGCTGAAGTTACTCTGTGGGGTTCCTAAATATATTGGCAGTAAAAAGAATGGAGGTGCAGTGATAACTTTAGTTCAGAAGGGAAAGTAGGCAGATTCTGAGAATTATGTCGGCCTGCTGCAATATAAATCTATCCTTTATTAGCTTCCTTTTAGGATGTAGATCAGTGGTTCTCAACCTGTGGGTCGGGACCCCATTTGGGATCGAATGACCATTTCACGGGGGTCGCCAAACAACGCAGTCCACCATTTTTTCCCCCTTTTCCTTAGCTGTGCTACTCCCTTTTATTCTATTGGCTTTTGAAAGCCAATAGAATAGACTCTCTTGAATTGTCCAGGCTGCCTCTGCCCTGCTGAGCCCGTCAAAAGTCCCATTCTGCAAATGGTGCTGCACCAGTTGAGTAGTCCTCAACTTATGACCAGTTGAGTAGTCCTCGACTTATGACCGGTTGGGGTCGCGGCATTAAAAAGGTTGAGAACCACTGATGTAGATAAAAAGGAAAAGAGATTATGAAATACGAATCCATCATGAAATAGACTTCAGCATGTCTGCCTGTCAGAACTGGTTCTTCTATTTGACAGTTGCCTCACCTGAAAATGTAGGGGTGTCAGGAAGACCAACCTTAATGTATTATTTAGCAATAGCAATAACACTTAGACTTATGTACTGCTCCATAGTGTTTACTCTCTGAGTGGTTTACAACATCAGCCTATTGCCCCCAACAATCTGGGCCCTCACTTTACCAACCTTGGAAGGATGGAAGGCTGAGTCAACCTGGAGCCCATCAGGATCGAACTCCAGGCTATGGGCAGATTTTGCCTGAAATATTGCCTTCTAATCACTGTGCCCCAATACTCTTGACTGCGCCAGCATTTGACTTTCCTGACTGAATTAAGGGGCCTGCTAGCCTCAGTTACTGGAAAATGCTGCAACATTACTAATGTGGAAGTAAGATGTTCCTGGAAGTTATGGTAATTGTGGAACTTTTCCTTGCCTAAGGCAAAAACATCCTGATCAGTCCTATCTCTCAAACTCTATTAAGACAGGGTCTCAACAAGATATGATCTATATAAATGAATCCAGTAGTTACAAATAAAGTTACAATTTATGACCCAAGTGATTTGAAAAGTTCTCTTTTGTGAAAAAAGTAATTTTTTCAATTTCTTTAATTAGAATAACATTTGTGTTAGCAATTTCATATGGACATTTAAAACAAACAAACAGATGCTGTTAGGGAAGGGCAGCATTCAGTGTGGGCAGAGCTGAGGAACTCAGAGATAAGTCCTTCCTCTCCTGCCTTCTAGATTCCCCTGAACAATTGCTGCCCATTTCTAATTAATTCAAGGGAACCAACTGGTCAAGCCACCTATATGCATAGCACCCAATTTAGCCTTCATTGGGAGGTAAACAGAACAAGGAACTTTCACTGAATTTCAGAATATTAGTCTTTTCCCAATTAGGTTTGTTGTATATAGCCGGGATCCGCAACCTTCCAGTGGGAAAGGGAAAGACAGGCACCTTTATGCATGCAAATGTGGCTGTGCACGCATGTGCATGAATGGGGCTGTGAGCATGTGTGTTCCACAAATGGGGCTGCTAGCGCCAGTGTGAGGCTCACACGAGGCTAGCACTGGCTTGAGGCTTGCGGTGTGCTGAGTGGGGCTAAGCGCATGCACAGGCATGCCCGCAGTGGCCAGCCACTCACGTGGCCCAGTGGCCAAGAGGCCATGGCCCGGTAGTAGGCTGCAGCGCATAGGTTGGGGACCTCTGGTATATAGCACTGACTAAATCAGGAGTCATTCCAATTAAAAATTAAAATCTGAAAAGTGTTATCACATTTTCTTGTAGGCAGCTTTACGGCGGTTAGCTGTGATGAGCCCTGATGGTCTTCAAGAGTCAGATTTCCAGCAGTTGGTGAAGCCCAGGCTTGTGGATTCCTTCCTGCTTTGTACGAATATGGAAGAAAGCTTTGTTTAAACAACTGCAATTTTATTATTAATGTTATTCATAACTGATTGACTGCTTATCATTTATTTATTATAAGAGCTAACATAGAAAAAAAATGCCACTTCACATTTCTGATCCCTATGAAAAATTGTCTCTACCTCTTCTAGGGTTTGCACATTATAAATATAATAATTTAAATAAAATAAATAAATAAATAATACAGAATGGGAGATAGGTCCACTTCCACAGCCATTCCCCACTCATGGTTTGATATCGGACATCAGTGACTTAATTTTGGGGGTGGAAACAGCAGTGTGATTAAGGGATGGAAGGCAAGCAAGGGGCAGGGATTGGTAATCCATAGTTGTGGGTCTATAAGCAGATTTCATACTTCTTTTTTATATCTTTTGGGACCTTGACAACTGTGGAAAATTGTTGGAATATTTTTAGAGAAAAACAGAAGAAAGTGAATATATAAATAAGGGATAGGTTCACATAGCATGGTGCAAAGTGGCACTTTGTACTGTGAATTCAGTTGAATTTCCTCAAGTAGAATATTACTTTAGTATTAGTGGCTAACATGATTGCATGGTACACATTAGGATATGCAAAGGTTCATCAAAGTGTCCTTTGATGTTGCTACATAAACCTGAATAGTCTCAGGTATTTACCAAAGCTTTATGATGGCCAAACCATGTTGCAGCAATGCTTCCAGAACTTTCCATGATCTTTCTATGGCCTTATATCCTGATAAAGCAAAGCATAGTTGCCCATTTTGAAAGGAGCTTGAGGTGACACTTGCTTTTTCAAGATGAGGCATTGCTCCTTCAATCATATTTAATGTAGCCCCACAATATACAGTAATTCCATCTTACACAGGCCTGATAGAGAGGGAAACAACATTTGGAGGGGAGGGGAGCAAAGGGGAATTGAATAACAAAGCTTCTGTCATGAATTTCCAACTCAAACCCCACAAGTTACATACCTGTGGCAAATGCAGGATGCAAATATGAATGGAAGGGCTTTTCTATGTACATGTTTGATTTTCCAACATTTTAACTAGTTGAGGATGCAGATGCTTTTGGATCTCTAGATGCAATCTCCAGTTTCTTAGTCATTAGTCATACTGTTGAGACTGATAAATGTTGAAATCCAAAACATCTGGATAACATCAGGTTGCTCACTTCTTGTAGTCCTCAGATATACATGTACACATTTATATTTTTTAGAATTTTGCAATTCTGTTTACAAGTATGAAAATCTATGTAAAAACACACCTGTTCATTTCTTGAATACTCTGCACCCAACAATAATATATTAGATAATAATTACATTGTAACAAATAAAAATCACCTGCAGGAAATGCATAATTAGGAAAAATACAGAATTGCATATAGAATTATTATTACTTTTTTGCTGAATTAGCTAAGTCATGTACCAAATCACACTAGTACAGCGGTTCTCAACCTATGGGTCGCGGCCCCATTTGGGGTCGATCGACCATTTCACAGGGATCGCCAAGCAAGGCTGTCTGCCATTTTTTCCCCTTTTCTGGCTGGTGCCTTACCTCCCTTGGGCTGGGCCAGCTGGTGGCCCAGCCGGTGGTCAGCCTGCTCTGTCTCTGCCGCTTGCCAGCTACACCTCGGCTGGCGTAGGGGATGGCACCATGCATGCGTGGCACTCCTGGGCAGGGAAAATCCTCGACTTACGACCAATTGGGTAGTCCTTGACTTATGACCTGTTTAGTCCTTGACTTACGACCGGTTTAGTCCTTGACTTACGACCGGTTGGGGGTCATGGCATTAAAAAGGTTGAGAACCACTGCACTAGTAGATGAAGATAAGAAAAAATAATTGGAATCAATTGACAGATTTGCTAAAATAATAGCACTATATACAGTAGTAGATAAACAGCCATGTAGGCCAAAATAACTCTAAAATATTCAATCCAGCATACTATAGTATTTCCTAGACTGGCCAAATGCTTTTCTGGCAATGATGGGGAAAAAAATGGAGGATGATATTCCTTTGAACTATTTCATAGATGCTTTTCCTTTCACAAAATTTGATATATGAGCATATAGTCCTGAAATTGTATTGAAGGAAGAAATTTACAGTAGACAAAGTTTTAGAAGAACATTTATCCACATAAACACACATATGGAGTTCAGCATTATAAGATTCTTTTAATTTTTTTTAAAAAATATGAATTTATATAAATGACTTTTTATTTGTAGCTTGATTGCAATCACATAGCAGCATATCTGATATTTATACTTATGATTTGATATTTGAACTAAAGCAAATTAATAGGTTTACAAAAAATATACATATACCACGTAGTATGATTTTTAAAACAACAGCTTAATATAATTGCAGCGCAAGTTGGTTGATTCAAATATTTTAATCTCAACAAATAAAAAGAAGCCAAAATTCATCTCTTATTAAGCCAACTTCAATCTTTAATGATTAACACTGGACAGTTTTTAATATTCAGAGTTTAATTTTATAGTTGCAAATGCAAGGCTTGATCTAAAAAAGAAGAGTCAAGCTATGCATGTCCTGTAGTGATAGTTTTCCAGTGGTTGATGGAGCACATAAATGAAACTCAAAGTTTCTTCCAAGGTCTCCTTTGGTCTTGTTGACTTTGGTAGAATTGCCAGGCAACTTTAATTAAGGACCTGATAGCCAACCCACAGCTCATATATTCAGCACCACTGATGATGATTAGAACTGAAGCATGAAAAGGAGTGTCATTTCAAGGTCAGTGCTTCAAAGGCTTGTGGCAAATTGCCAGGCAACTCCTAGTTGTTTTCTTGTTTTCTGAGGCACATCTTTGCCAGAAATAATCTTGCATCTCTAATTTCTTCTCAGGTTATCAGAATCACATTAGATATATATTTAATCATGCAACAAGCCTGAAAGCATTTACATAGCACATTGTAAGGTTGAAAACTAATCTTTTTTTTAATCTTAGCATTTATTTGTACTGCTTATATTTGGTTGTGTCTCCAGTATTATTAATTGCATTGAATTAATTTGCATTAATTGCATTGCATTGAAAATCCATGGTCTAATATTCATTTAACTGATCTACAGCCTGAAAAAGGACTTTTCCCAGTCTCCAACCCAATTTTGACTCTTAGATCTGATCATAAAGCTTTAAGGATTGATGTTCTAGGACTGGAAATACAGGTTTAGCTCCTGAGGCAGCCAGAAGTACTCAGGAAAGTCATTAATTCTTCCAGATGGATTCATAACATGTCCTGCAATTATAGTGTAGATCTGTAGTTAAGACTATATTTGGAACTAGTCAAGTCAAGTCCACAAAGAACATGCATTTTAGCAATGTAATAATATAGTTATAATTTTACTTATACTAGTCTACCCTGCTTGTCGTGGCAGAAGGGGCCTCCTACAGACTCCCTCAGCCAAGGAATTTCAATTGTGTGATTTAGAAAAAAACACTTGTGGACTATAGCCTACCGATCTTATGCCAGGGCCATTTTTCAATTTTTTTAAGGTGCCATGAGATGTTTTATTATGTTTTTTTTATATAATTTTATCTCAGTATGCAATAACCTATTGTACTAAGTAACATTCAATGGCCAGTTTTACAAAAATGGCCATTGAATATTATATTTCACAATATGATAGTTGCATGTTTTTTTACATTGCATGCTATTCCTTTTATGCTTAAAAATTCTGCCCACAATAGAACATGAATAAAGGGCAGGACTAAGAGGGCAGGACTGCACTGTGCCCCTAGTTCAATATCACCACACCCTGGTAACAAATTCACCTTCTCCTTATGTCACCTTCCCTGGTCTTTGCCATCTTCCTCACCCCAAGGCACAAAACATGCTGCTTATATTCTTAACAGACATAACGAGAATCAGGAAGTACAGCATAAACTGTACGCAAAGCAAATTCTGGGGTCAAATTGACACTGGAGTATCATTAAAATGCATCCAAATTTAAGACCTTAATACCACACATTCAGTATAATGTTTATCCTCCTCATTTAATCAGAATTTTTCTTGGAAGAACTTTGAGGTACGTGGCTGTTAGGTCTATTTATTAACTAATGTATCTAGGAGAAGGCTGCCATCAAAGCATGGAGCATTTGTAAGGTCTCCTGCTGAGAGACTGGTGTCAAGCAGATCATACCTCAGACAGGCTGCTGCTGCTGCTGGGATCAGTCCAAATTTAAATTTGCCTTGAAAGATGAGAGAGACTGGACGTCATCATAATGGCTCCCCACCAAGGCAATGGTATGCCACTGAAGTTGTAAATGAAAACTGAGTTAAGTTCTCTTTAAAAATGTTGATATATAGTAAAGTGCTTTTCAAATGTTGAGGGCCATTATTTGCTTTTGGGGAGTTTAGTATGTTGTTAAAACAGGGGTATCTATGAATATACCTTACGTCAATAAATCAGGGTTTGACACTGTAATTTGCTGCTGGCTTTCTGACCTCAGATGTGGTCATACTAATAAAAAGGAAATAAATAACAACAACAACAACAACAACAACAATAATAATAATGTTGTAAGGGACCTTGGAGGTCATCGAGTCCAACCCTCTGCTCAGGCAGGAAATCCTACACCATTTCGGACAGATGGCTGTCCAGTCTCTTCTTAAAAACTTCCAGTGTTGGAGCATTCACCGCTTCTGGAGGCAGGTTGTTCCATTGGTTAATTGTTCTAACTATCAGGAGGTTTCTCTTTAGTTCTAGGTTGCTTATCTCCTTGATTAGTTTCAATCCGTTGCTTCTTGTCCTGCCCTCAGGTGCTTTGGAGAATAGCTAGACTCCCTCTTCTGTTGCGTTCAAAATTTGTTCTGTCACAGTTTGCCAAATTAAGCTTCACTTTTGTTTAAGAATAGTCTTAATGTACAAAGAAAAATCTGGTAGTGGTGAAAATTTAAGAAGTCTAATTATCACTAACATGTGACTACAGAGAGCAAAGGCAACAAGCATAATGAATATGACAGAATTGTCTCTAACACACATGAAGCATTTTGAAAATGTCAACATCTCCCTTATAGGAAAGCTACAAACTTTTATGATTTCTAATATTAAAAAATGAAAAAGGATTTAATCATTAACCATTATCCCTTGCTATCTGTAAACTATCAGTCTAAGATTCTCAGTGTAGTTTTCTCATATTGCCTAACATTATAGCAAAAGCTGATGTGAGAATGATTGATTGATTATATACCATCAAGTCTTAGTGACCATATAGATCAGTGTTTTTCAACCTTAGCAACTTTAAGACAAATGGACTTCAACTCCCAGAATTCTCCAGCCAGCCATGTTGAAATCTACACATCTTAAAGTTGCCAAGGTTGAGAAAAACTGATATAGATTTTCTCTATGAGATGTGAGAATGACATGTCTTATTTACCTTAGTCTGCTCACTATAACCTCGAAACAAAAAGGCCCTCATTTTCCAAGATTTATGGCAGTTATCATATATCATTTGCAACATTTTTTTTAAAAGAAAGATAAATACATTTATGAGATACATCTTCAACTTTTTAATGGATATTGTACAGTTCTTGCCAGAAGAGCTTATGGGGTTGTTAAGAGATCAGTTATCCTTTGGGTATTCTTTTGTATTCTCTTTATGAGAAACTGCACTGAATTCCAGATATACTCAAATAATCACATAAATCACTCAATAACTTGATTGCCCCACTCCAAAAAGATAGTAGTGAAAGCTGATAAACTAAGTGGTTTGTCATTTCCTTGAAGCCCCCATTTATTACTTTCTTATGTCTGCAAGGAACTTCTGGATTGTACTTCCATTTGCATTTCATTTCAGAGTCAATTAATTCTATTCAAATTTGTGATTCAGTTCTGAGTCAAGACGAGCTAATTCACTTCGACTTCAGTTGTCAAATCAAGCAGATTTTATTTGAAGATATATTCAAGTTGATAAGAATATATGTGTATATACATACTGAAAGCAGATACAAGTTTATGAAGGCACTTGATTCAACTCAATATGTCAGATCATTTTGATAATTCAGCTGAAAGATTCAGTTTGGAATTAGCAATTTGAATCATTTTTCAGTCAGGTTGTTTTTAATACAAACATCATATATCCCTATATTAGCAAGAAGTAATTCCATCAAATTTTGTGAAATTTATATACATTTTATATATAAGGCCCAATGTTGCATATAGAACAAATGTAACACTATTTCCACCAGTGCATGAGTTACATAGGATAGCTATATCATGGCAATTTAAAACCATCCACATGATAGGATCATTTTATTAACTTTATTAGACTCTGTAGTCACTTCTGCATTAACACAGTCAAAATGAGTATGGCCCATTTTCTAGAACTCTGAAGATATCAAACCAGGTCACATAAACTACAAAAAGCAAGCTACAGTATGATGCCAGAAGGGAAAAACAGCTAATATTTAGATTTTTGAAAAGTGGAAGATGTTCATAACAAAGGTTAGAATCCTTAGAACTAATCGAATTCTACCAAGTAGTGATCATA